CATCCTACTACCCCTCGGTGTGCCCTTGCCTCCCACGACTANATATATATTCTAAAAATTAGGATCAAATTATATTTAAAAAAAGTATTTATTACCAAGTTTGTATTTCTACAATATGTGGGTTGGCCGCATGCTAACCGCGTCCTTATAAGTTTGTGTGTATGGTCTATGTTACACATGTCCATCCTTAACGATAGATGGTTGAGATGATGTTGTTGGGTAAGGTTAACGATTTGTTGATTTCCACAGTCAGTTGCCGGTTGATGAAGAGTTCAAAGCTGGTCTATAAATGACGGAGATGAATTTGTGATGGTCATATCTTTACGACTTATTAGTGCAATGGTCTGGTACAACATCTCTTAGGAGGTGGGAGTTGGAAGTAGTGAAAAAAGATATGTAGACTTATAACATCACTGAGGATATGACCCCTGATAGAGCAAAATAGGGGACCAGGATTCGCATAACAACCCCAAATAGTTGAAAAAATGTTGAAGATGATTATGATTTTCATAATTTTCTTCTTGAATTATTTTCAAGTTTCTTTTTCGGATAAGTGTATTCTTTTTATTTCACTATCCTTTAATCATAAGTGTATTCTTTTTATTTCACTATCCTTTAATCATAAGTGTATTCTTTTTACTTCACTATCCTTTAATCATAAGTGTATTCTTTTTATTTCACTATCCTTTAACAGCGAAAGCACAAAATCATAAAGATGAATGAAAAGAGAGAGTTTATCACTAAAATCAATAGAACAGTATGAAGGTAATACCCTTGGGAACTACCTTATATACTAATAGGGTGCAGTTTGTATAGAGCCTAGGCTCTAAACAATCAAATTAGAGCTTACATTCAAATGGTATCGAAAAATGTGGTTTCAATATTGGAAATCTTTGTGATAGCCTTAATGTATCTTTTTATATTTATTTATAAAGTTTAAAGCTTCAAAAATAGTGTAGATCGACAGATCTATGAAAATCTTGAAAATTAACGGTTCAAAATATGTTACAAAATACACTATTTCCAAAACTTGAAATGTATTTTTTGTCTCATGTCCATGCTTCTTGTTGTCGAGATGATCAATTTGAAGATATTTGAACATCAAAACAACCTCTTCTAGTGAAATTTTTGAGATAGTTTCAAGTTTGATTGTTTAGAGCCTCGGCTCTGTATAAACTTTTCCCATACTTATATTACTGGAATCCCTGAATGCAGCAAAATTTAATACAAAAAGGGGTAATTTAACATATTTTGTTTTTATGAAGTTAAAAAAATAATCACAATGTTTGCATATTTTATGGAGGGGCTTTTTTTTATTTTTATCTTTACCTAAAATACATCCAATCTGGTACTTGAATCACCAGACCACATCTTTTTTTAAAAAAAAATTAGTCCAGTCCAATACTTGAAGTACATGATTAATTTCTCTATAATTATGAGACTTCCCACACTTACGTGAGTAGGACCCCAACGATCACCACTAAATTTTGAGTGGGACCCTAAAAGACCACTATTAAATTTTAACGCAGATCTCTAAAAAAATTATCAATAAAACCATTCACCTAAGTCTCATACCCATGTCATAACTTTTCTAGAGATCAGTGTCAAAATTTCATAGTAATCCTTTGAGGTCCTACTCACATAGGTGTGAGAGGGTTTCATAATATCATTACTCTTATTATATATTTTAATTCCAAAAGGATGTCTTTTTGTACATTATTTACTTTTATAAAATAGCTTTCGCCAATAATTTTGAAAGAATACCTCTTATATTTATTGGCCTTTTTCAAAATATTTGGCAATAATAGCTAGGTTTGCATAAATGCTAAAAAATGAAACATCGTTAAACTGCCATTAAACCACACAGCTTCTTGTGGGGCCCAAATTGACTTAGAAGAAAAAGGAGAATAATGTAGGCACTCAACGTCTGCTTAATCGTCAGCTGCATGAATAATGTGCTAGGTCTCATTGTCTATGTCAAAAATAACCAAATTAAAGGCTTTATTGCGTTTCCCATGTTTTCTATTTTATTTGATGAATGGGATTCATTTTTCATCTGGACTTTATTTGTCATTTATTAATAAAAGGATTAAGGAAAAAAATATTTTGTAAAGCCACGGTTTTCATACGGTTGTATCTCAAATCTTGCTAGAGTCGAAAGTTTACAGCCCCTCTCTTGTTACTCTTCCTTTAACCTGTTCAATATTTATTGGTTGTTTTGTACTTTATTCTCCATTAATTACCAATTCCCTTAGACAAAAAGTTACTTGCATAATTGCATTTTTTAAGTAAGTTTATCAAGAAACCAAAAAGTCACTTATATTGACGATTAAAGGTGTCGTGCCTGTGAAATAGCTTAGAGAATAAGCATTAAAGGCAGTAACCTTCGGGGTGGCAATTGGGTCGGGTCGGGTCACACCGTGGACCTACTTTTAAAACAGAGTTTTTGCCCAAAACTATCATATGGTTTTTTTGACACTATTTTTCGAGTGACATGTGAACCCGCCATGTTGAGCCAATGTGATTTTAGGAGTTTCCATGGTCTCATTGGATTGCACTTCTGAGTGGAATTTTACATCAAGGATGGAAATACTCACTTGATTATTAGTGTTAGATATCGAGTCTTTAAGAGTTATCTATCGGCTATTGAGAAGAACTACCTTCTATTGTGATTAGCTTACTGCTCATCAAAAGAGTCAACTCGAGTATAGTGACTCCACAGATTGGCTTACAAAATCAATATCTGTTTTTATACTCTATTCGTTGAGATGACAAGGCGATTACATCATTTGATCAGTATCTATGCTTGAGACTCGACTCCTATATCTCGATGAGGAAATTAGCTTGCGAATGCTCATTGAACATGCTGACTCATATATCAGCTCGCTTTGTCTTCTTCTGATATACGTAGTGCGTGTCTCACAATTGATACACCTGTTGTACGTCTTGCTCTTGGATGTTGCTTTGACTTACACTCCCCTATAGGCAAGAAGCGGATAGAGGACACTCAAAGCTTTGCATCCTATGCATCAAGATCCTCCAAAGCTTGATTCAACATTCTCCTTATGTAGGAGAGGCTTATACCTGATCCTGCTGCCTCCTACAACTGGCTTAAAAACTTCGGATTACCCAATACCTCACAGTTTTTTGAAGTACATTGTCCGATGTTAGAGATATTGGGCCAAAGTTTCTTAAAAAGAAAAGCAAAACAAGCATGTCTGATATCCCTCATATTGGACCAACCCAACAAAGAGCTATTCATGCTTTTTATGTCTTAGGTCATTCACCCGACCACGAAGGCTCCAATTTATCACAAAAGCCTTTAAAATTTGGTGAAATTTGGTGAAGTATAAGAGCTTAGGTAGACCTCTCAATTCTTAATAATAAGAGAGTGAAACGGCAAAAAAGTTTCAAAATAATTTGTTGTTCAGTGAATCACAAGTATTAGTTGGGTGGGTCCAATTCTAAAGATATTTTGTATGCGACCCTCGTTTGCTCTTTCGTAAGTTTGCAAAAGGTTGAGCATGCTTTAGTTAGGGTAGAACTTTGGCTTGGTGCTGCATAGATTGGCTATCTGAGAGACTAACCCATGAAAAGTTAAGAAAGGATCCAAGAGCAATGACCCATGAACCCCTCAAGTTCACACATGGTTTCATAGGACCCCGTATCTCTTACTGTCGAATCCCATAATGCATCTCGAGAATAGATGGCGACACCAAGCACCGAACAAAATGGTAAAAGGATTTTTTTTTTTGCTCTCTCTCTCTCCCTCAGGCTTTGGCTCTCTCTCTTTGTACTAAAAATAAATAGTCTTTTCGTATACTCTCTCTCCTTGTACTAAAAGTAAATAGTCTTTCCGTATACTTTCCTTAAAGAGCACAATTACATTAGACGGGATGGACCTCACTAAAAAGCTCATGGAAAGTAAATTGTTACATAATGTAAAAAAACATAAACAAGACCTTCAGATTAGCTTTGTTGGAAATAACCTAATTGGGTTCAATCTGAATTCAGGCACTAAAATGGAAACTGAGGGAAGTTAACGAGGGTGCACTGAATGAGGTGTAGGCCTTAATAGCTCTTATGATGAGGACGAGTCTATAACTGCACACTCATATAAACCCTTCATGGGCATCCATAGCTATATGCATGTAAGCTTTAAAAGAAATAAGGGTGGACTACAACACTTGATTTTATCTTGTTGTTTGGTTCTTTCCTTATGTGTATGCTTGCTAAAGGTTGACCTTGCTTGAGTTAGGATCGAACTTTGACTTGGTGCTGCATTGATTGACTATGTTAGAGACTTACCCCTAGCAATTATTGTAAAAATTTAAGAAAATATTTAATGCATATTCATCAGAGGAGAAAGAAAATATACTTCTAATAAAACCTTCTCAATCTTTCTCTTTAATAAAACAAATAAACCCCATGAAATCTTATACAGACACCTAGTAATATTTATGTTCCAAAAAGAATACCACAAACCAAGACACCCCAAATCGAGTTTTGAGTCCATAATAACTAACTAAAAGACTTAATAAATGGCCTTTTCACTCTATGGTGAGCTAGAGGGCCTATAGGTTTTCCAATCTAAAGTTCTTTCATGTTTGGATAGTTCAGTGGTAGGAATCGAACTTGAGATATAGCGAGCCTGCAAACAAAAAGCATTAAAAAGAGGCTACTCCCTTTCAGGGAGTGAGCCCAACCATGATGGAGGAAGCATGCCAGTCTGCTCATGAACTGTGGTTAAGAGTGGTGGCAACATCCTATAAACCCCTGCCACCTGTTGCATGGCTGGTGCACCACCGCCTGTGCCCGGGCCATCGCCATTGCCCGTCGTGGTCCACAAGCTGATCTTGGGGGCGAGCCCCTGTATAGCCTCTGCATTGATCCTTGCCATCTCTTGGTACACCCCCATGTTTAACATCATGTAATCTCTTAGTGCTCTGTAGTCCCCTCCTAGAGCTTCGAGCAATCGCTTCACTTGATAGGATTGTGCATCTGCCAAAGCCATGAGCCCCTCTGATTCCTTCTTCTTCGTGTATAGCTCAGCCTCGGCCTCTTGCTGTCGCGTGTACAAAGCTGCATCTGCAGCTGCCTTGCACCCTTCAGCCTCTTTCTCCCTCTCGTACAATCCGGCATCGAGTACTCTTTGACGCTCATAGAATTTGGCGTTGGCCTCTTGCACTTTAGTCTCGTAAGCTACCGCTGCTTTGCTAAGCATCTCGGCCTTCATCTTCTCTGTTTGTGTCATCGCGTTGCGCTTCTCGAGCTCCATTTGCAGCTCTGCCTCTCGTATTGCAACTGCCTTGTTGGCCTCGACCTCCGCCACTTGTGCCTGTCGGGCCCAGTCGGCCTTCTTGGATGCAAGCATTGAGTTTGCTTCCGCCACCTCGGCCTCACGCTCATTCTGAAAGATCTTGACATCAGTCTTGACCCGAATTTCTTCCTTTTGGCCCTCTCCTTGCCTCTGAGTCGAGTATATTTTGGTCTCAGCGTCAATTTTTGACGCATTTTGGAGGGTTTGGCCGTCGCGGAGCTTTGCACCGATTTCTCCCTTCATCTTTGCCTCAGAAACATCGATGCGTGCTTGGTTGGCAGCCTCCATCTGTGTTTTTTGGCCGAGGTAGGAGAAGTATTCATGGCCGGGGACGTCAACGAGCTGCTTAACATTGGCATTGTAGATGAGGAGGCCAAACTGATTGAGCTCCAGCTGCACCTGTTACAAGAACACGCAAAAAAGAAAGAAAGAGATGAAGAGTTTAAATAATGGTACATGCAAAACAAAACAAAAAAAAAAAACAGAGAAGAAAAGGATAAATAAAGGACTGAAACTTGAATTTAGGAAGAATAAATTAGAACATTCCTGTTGAACTCTTAGAACAAGCTCACCTCCACCTTAAATTAGAAGAACAAACTAATGGGTGATCACTGCTCAAAACTTATTTTGGAAGAAAAGAAGTAAACAGGAAATTGGGGTCTTTAAAACATTGCAACAAACCATTTTGAAGAAACCAATAGATTGATCGTGTCCTTCTTTAAATAATAATAATAATCATTATTATAATAATAACAATAATAATAAAGATTATATGCTCTCAGAGGGATCATATCTAAGACTCACTCCCTCCATAAAACTGTTTTTTCAGGACCCCAAATTTTGGTGATACAACAACCTCAACTACCATCATTCTCAAAAAGAAACTAAAAAATAAAACAAAGAATTAGAGACCCTAAATAAAACAAATAATTGCTTAAAATTGATGAGGGATATCTAGTTCTGAGATGGTCAAAACTTACGAACTCAAATTACTCAAAAGTGGATTCCTAAATTTTAGGGAGTTAAGTGTTCTGCAAAGGGGAGTAGATGTACAGCGTGCTCCCGGGGGAGCGAGTTAATATACTAGCTGCCACCCACCCCAAATGGTGACATTACTACTTAACCTTATTGGCTTTGGAAGTGTCGCTTTGGAAGTGTCGCTTGGAAGATACAAGAGACGACTTGCCACTTAAAAAGATAGACATTCGATTTTTTACTGTTGTAGGAGCATATTCTTCATTTGCTCCCTTAGTATTTATATCTTTTGAACCTGGCCTCCAACCTCAAAAAGAAAATAAATAAAGAAAAAACCAACAGAGCCCCTAAAAAAATACCTTCATGAGATTGAACAAATACCATTCAATTTTTCTGCAGAAACATAGCCGTTTAAGTGATAAATACAAATAATAATAATAATAATAATAATAAGATGTCTATTTTAAGCAGGGAAAAAGTTTGTAAGAGATTGCAACTTTAAATTTTAGAATTAAGATGCACCGAAGAAATTCATTGTAAAAGATTGTTTTGAAATTGGAAAATCATCTGATTGATCATCTCGACGTCAAGATCGATGAATATCAAAAAAAAAAAGAAAAAGATTTTGAGTCCAAAAAACTAGCGCATCTTGCAATACATTTTCTGAACCGTCCATTTTTAATATTTTCATATTTTTATAGATCTACTTGATTCAAAACATTTTTCGAGTTTACAATTTTATAATTAGAGATAAAAATGGATTCTAAGGCCATCCTAAAAATTTTTACACCAAAATTACATCTTAATGATAATTTTTGGTCGTACACCTTACTTTGATTGTTTAAAGATGATAGTTTAAGGTTGTTACCTCATGCAAAACTACACCCTTCAAGTATTTAAAATTTTTTGAATAACCATCTGGTGATTGTGAAGAGGACCTCAAAATTTCCCAAATAGCTCAAAATCAAGTTTCCCTTTGATCATCAAAAAATTCTTTAGCAGCAACTAAGTATTTCAAAAAGTAATAATGGAGGATCTCAAAAAAAAAAATTCACGGCACCATTTTTTGTTTTCTTCCTAAGTTGCCCTCCTTTCTCGGAGGTAACAACACCGAACAGGTAACACACTCCCTTGTGGTTAAATTACAAAGGGAACGTATTCCTTGGAGTATAATATAAATTTACTCCCTTAGTAAAAAGACCTATTTGGGAGGATTTTTTTAAATTTAAAATTTTGGGAACCACTTAACAATCACTAGATTTATTTTCAAAAATAAAAATTTAAAATTTGAGTTTTTTAATACTTAGATATCAGAGGATTTTTTTTAATTTGAAATTTGGGGAACCACATTATTTTCAAAAATTAAAGTTTTAAAATTTGAGTTTTCTAATACTTAAATCTCACCCTCTAAAAATTGGACAGCCTTTATTCAATCTTGAGACAATAATTTTTTGAAGTGTGCATCGGGCACAATTAGAGGATGAAGGGACATCTCCAAAATTTAAGTTCCTTAAATTATTCCTAGGTGCGGTTTTACTTGAACGAGTAAATGAACATTATACTCGTGAAAGAGTATAATATTTTTAATAATTTTTTAGTGGGTTTGAAAGGAAAGAACCCGCGTGGCTTAAAATCAAACAAAAGCACCTTCCAGAAAACGAAGATGGCTAAAGACCAAAGGTATCACGGTTGCTTTTTTTTTTTTAATTATCATATGAACTTATACTCCTTTGGGAGTATACTATTCCTTTACACCCTCATGTAAAACCACACCTAGACGAAATTTTGAGAATATAACCTCTTCAATCTACCATTAATTTAAGGAACCCAAATTTATTAGAATATAACCTCTTCCATCCATTAACCTCAATAAAAAAATCGTAATTGTACCCATTATACTTGAAAAAATAATGAACATAGACAATCCAATTTTTAAAAAATGTGATCGTGTTAGAAAACTCAAATATCAATTTTTAATTTTTGAAAATAATCATTTAACTATAATTAGATGGTTCCAAAAAATTTAAATAGAAAAAATCATCCCATGTATTTTTTTTACCGAAGGAGTAAGCTTATATAATACTCCTGTTACCGTCGGAATATGTCCTTTTTCTTTTAATTTAACCCTGATGTATTAAGGAGTTTTATGAGGTTTTTCGCTTATCCTTACAGGACAGCAACTTACACAATCAACAAAATCAAGCAGGAGAACAACTTACAAAAAAAAAAAAAAAAAACAAAACTTCAGGTGCTCATAATTTTCTGGAAAACCTGGTAAAAAGACACAAAAGGTATCCATACCTAAAAAGCTCGCCAATTTTACGGAAACAGCAAGAACTCACCTTCTCAAAGACTTCTTGTTTGAACTGCTTGGTGCCCTTAAAGATCTCCTCCATGGTCATGGTTGCGGCCAAAACCCTGGTCTCCCCCTCGATGATTCCCTGAACCAGCTCATGAACATGATTCGAATTCTTGTCATGGGGAGAGATGAGGCGTGCGTAGCGGAGGAGGGCTTCCTCGTCGTCCACCTGAGGTCCGATTGTGAAAACTGCAGGGAGAACGAAGGGGAGCTTCTCGGCACTCATGGCCTGCACCTCGAAAGTGTAGTTCTCCGGAGATACGTCGAACACGGTGCATGACTGCCCCGGGAAGATCCACGACTTCTTCGCGAGCTTGATGTCGTCGATGCCGTACCCTGTGATCGCAAGGTACTCCGACGCGCTAGCGACCTTGTACCCCATGGCTTTCTTCTACACAGACAGAAGCGTCTGAGAATGTTCAAAAATATTGAGAGAGAGAGAGAGAGAAATTATAAGTAGAAAGTATTGAAGAAGTTGAAGGTGGTGGTGAAGGTTGGTTTAACGTAAAGATGGATAGGTATTAGGGTTTTATAGGGGAAAAATAAGATTTCTTTTTCGTTATGGAATTAAGAAGCTTCATTGAAGATGGAGGGAATTTTCCTGCATAGGAATTATCAACCCTCAACGTTTATGGGCCGTAACTGGGCCCGGCCAGGCCCTACTCCTTGCATTGGAAAATGTTTCTATTTTATTTGATGAATGGGAATTTATTTGTTATTTATTAATAAAAGAATTTAGCCAAGGTTTTCATACGGTTGTATGTCAAATCTTGCTAGCAACCGAAAGTTTGCAGCTCGTCTCTTTGGTTACATATCAAGATTTGGTTGCTTAAAATTGTAATTATATTTTTGTTAAATTTCTTTTTAGAGAGTCTTAATTTTCTTTAGTTTTATGGAGGCAAATAGATGGTTCATCTTAAAACAATTGTAACTAACGGTCCAAATGTTTTTTACATATAATTATTATTTTTAATTTTCAATTATTATTATTTTTCATATTCATGATCTCCATGTTAAAGATTATATATTTTCTAGAAATTAAGATCAAATTATACTTATTGTGAAGCCTGCATTTCTACAATATGCGGGCTGACTGCATAGAAACCGTGTCCTATTGCAAAAAGATGGTGAATATTTTTTTGACGCGGTTTCTTTGCGGCCAGCCCGCATATTGTAGAAATGCGGGCTTGGCAATAAATATATTTTTAAAATATCATTTGATCCTAATTTTAAGAGAATATATAATTTTTAATATGGAGGTCACGAATATGAAAAATAATAATAATAAATAAATAAATAAATGAAAACTAGAGACAATAATTATATAAAGAAAATGTTTGGACCGTTAGTTACAATTGTTTTTAGATGGACCACCTATTTGCATCCATCTTTAAAATGGATGCTTTATACGTACGGACCACATATTGTAGAAATGCGGTTCAGCCCGCATGAAACAATGTTCCGTAGTTTTGTTTATGAAAAACAAAGAAAGAGAGTCTTTTTTAGCGTAAAGTGAGAAAGAAAGATGGACCCCTCGTGGGTTTTTTTATTTCCCTCTCATGCTAGTGGGCATGTAGCAAAATACTCAAATTTGCTCATTTGTTTTTTCTACTTGTGAGTTCTTTCTCGATTTTTATTTCTCTCTAAAACGAGGTTATTTTTGCCGATTGTCTGTCAGTAATTTTATACTGTGTCAGTTATCTGCTCAAAATTTAACCTCTTCAATACTTTTTTTTGTTATCACTTAACATAAACAATAATTTGAGTTGAACAAATTATTTGCCAGAGGGGTAGAATAGATGCTTTTTGAGAGAGTAATAGGCATCTAGTTGTAATCAATGTCAGCTCGTTCAACTTGGTACGAGTCAGTTAGATTGGAATCGGGCAATAGACATATTTTGGTGATCCGGCGTGGTATTTAAAAAATTATATAAAATCTCAACAATGAAAAATTTGTTTGTAATGTATTTTTTTAATGTTTTTTATCATTTTAGCAAAGATTGGAAAGTATTTGGCCATGAATATTTATTTTTATATTTTCAAAAAATTTCAAAAATACCCTTCATCAGAAATTGAATAGTTTTTTTATGAAAATAAAGAAAAACAAAGTCTTTTTTTTTTTTAAGCATAGAGAGAGAGAATGGGGCCCCCTAGTGGGTTTTTTTATTTTCCTCTTATGCTTGTGGGCACATAGCGGAATAGTCAGATCAACGCATTTGTTCTTTATTCTTGTGAGTTTCTTCTCGATTTTTGTTTCTTTCTCTAAAATGCGGTTGTTTTTGCCGATTTTGTCTGCTAGTAATTTTATATTGTGTTTTATTCAATATTTAACCTCTTCAATTTTTTTTTTTAACAAAAAATATTTTGAATTGAACATATTATTTGCCTGAGGGGTAAAACAGATGCTTTTAGAAGAGAGAAATAGTACTCTAGTTGTAATCAATGTTCGCAATATCACTTGGTTCAACTCAAAACCAGCTGGTTAGATTGAGTTCTGGTTTTGATGATCCAACGGGGTATTTTAAAAAATTTATATAAATTCTCAAAAATAAGGGATTTGTTTGTAACGCATTTTTTAATGTTGTTTTTTTTTTCATTTTGGCAAAGATCGGAAAGTATTTGGCCATGAATACTTATTTTTAAATTTTTCCATATTTTTAAAAAAATTTAAAAATATCCCTGAGCTCAAATTGAATAGTTTTTTATGAAAATAAAGAAAGACAGTCTGTTTTTAGTGTAGAGCGAGAAAGAAGCCCCATAGTTGGTTTTTTATTTTCCTCTTATGCTTGTGGGCACATAGCGGAATACTCGGATCAATGCGTTATTCTTTATTCTTGTAAGTTCATTCTCAATTTTTATTTCTCTCTCTAAAATAAAGTTATTTTTGTCAATGTTGTCTGTCGGCAATTTTATACTGCGTCAGTTACCTGTTCAATATTTAAACTCTTCAATATTTTTTTTGTTGTCATTTAACAAAAATATATTTTGAGTTGAACAAATTATTTTGCCTAAGGGGTAAAATATTTTTTTTGTTGTCATTTAACAAAAAAATATTTTGAGTTGAACAAATTATTTTGCCTAAGGGGTAAAATAGATGCTTTTGGAAGAGAGTAATAGTACTCTAGTTGTAATCAATGTTGGCAATATCAGTTGGTTCAACTCAGAACCAGCCGGTTAGAATGGAACCGAGCAAATACCAGTTTTGCTTATCCGGCGGGGTATTTTAAAAATTTTAAAAAAATTATATAAAATCTCAAAAATAAGGGATTTGTTTGTAATGCGCTTTTTAATGTTTTTTATCATTTTGGCAAAGATTGGAAAGTATTTGCTCATGAATTTTTTTTTATATTTTTCTCATATTTTTCAAAAAAAAATCAAAAATACCTTTGGCACAAATTGATATTTTAAAATTTATTTTTTCACTAATTTTCAATTTCATTTGGATGCGCTTTGTTTAATCATATTTTAAATGCTTTTCCTATTTATACTTTAAATACTTTTCCTATTTTTTTAGAATTTTTGTTGTATTTTTTATTTTTTCGAACATTTGACTTGCCCGGTTAGGCCAATTGACATTGCCGGATTACCGGTTACTAAGAACCGGCCCTCGGCCGGATAACCAGAATGGTCTATAAGAAGAGCTAAATTGAAGTGTAAAAGTTTAAAATACAATGGAAGATTTTGATCAAATTCTGTAACCATTGGATTCAGAAAGGTCAATTGAAAAATCATTCTTTCTTTGACTAGAGACTTGTTTTTCTTTGTTTAATAATTTTGCTTTTGAAATATCACATTAGTACTAAGGTGTAGGGTGGTTCATTTGTTTCATGCAATTGGAATGAAGTGATGGACATTTGACTCGTTCCTTTTATCACAACAGACCCTTTGTGACTATTCCTCCGATGCATTTGGCATGCATGGAGTGGTTTAAAAGGGAAAATTATAAATACCTTTTAAAATCAACTTTCTACATATTTTATCTTAATATTTTTTGTATTATATCTTAAACGTCAATCATTATTTTTACTTATATTTACCCCAATCAAAAGTAGATGAATTTTAAGATGAAATTGTTATGCTTCTCTTTCTTCCTCTTTTATCTCTTTTTTTCTCTCTACCTTTCTCTACCCGACCTCTCTCTCTCTATCTCTCTATCTTCGTTCACTCTCTCTCTACCCTCCCTCACTCTTTCTCTCTCTTTCTCTATCTCTCTCTCTCTCCATTTTTTTATGCGGTCAGGCACCGGACCACAAAAAAAATTCGGTCCAGCAAGGAGTGTGCAAGATCCCATTATAGGCAGGGGAGAAGTTATTGGAATTTGTGTAGTTTGTCACGTTTTACGTCGAACTGAAATTTTTTTGCGGTCCGACACTTTTTTATGCCGGACCACAAAAAAAGAGTTTTGTCCAGCAAGGAGTGTGCCGACAACATAAAAAAAATTGAGACATAAAGAGTGAGGGAGGGTAGAGAGAGAAACTGTGAGGGAAGGTATAGAGATAGAGAGATTAAACACGTAGAGAGAGAAAGAGAGAGGACGTGTGAAGAGGGGTATAAAGAGAAAAATAGAGATAAAAGGGAAGAAAGAGAAAAGGGCAATTTTGTTCCAAAATTCATTTACTTTTGATTGTGAGTAAATACAAGAAAAAATAGTACTGAGATTTAATGTCTAATACAAACAGTATTGGGAGTAGAATGTGTAGAAAGTTCATTTTAGAAGTATCTATAATTTTCCATTTAAAGTTGAAACTTTAGGAGGGCTCCTTCAAATGATACCCCTAAAAATATTATTTTATGGATTTAGGATATGAAATACATACCCATTGTCTTATATGTACTTAGGTTTTGGATCCATGGTTTTTGTATTTTAAAAGGGCACGGTTAGCATGCGGCCAAGCCCGCACATGTAGAAATGCAAGCTTGGCAATAAATATATTTTTTAAATATATTTTGATCTGAATTTTTGGAGAATTGATAATATTTAACATGGAGATCATGAATATAAAAAAAAAAATTTGAAAATTAAAAATAATAATTATATTAAAAAAACATTTGGACCGTCAGTTACAATTGTTTTTAGATGGACCACCTATTTGCATTCATCTTTAAGATGGATGCCTTATTCCTCGGTCCAGCCCGCATAAAACAATTGTTCATTTTAAAAATAGTACAACTTTGATGATATTTGAAGCAATAAAATGAACGGTCTAAAATTATGTGTGTGTGCGCTTATGTGGTTATTCTAATATAGCACTCTATGTACATGGGCAATATATATATATATATATATATATATATATATATATATATATATATACCAAAGGATCACCATTAAAGTTGGCACCGAGCTCTAGAAAAGTTATCTCATGGGTGTGAGACTTGATTTTTC